AACCTGAAGTACATGGAGAACCTGCCCTTGAACTCATAGGCTGCAGCAGTATTAGCATGTGTTAGTTTTAGCAGTGCTGGGCTCAAATTCTGAGTAGGTGTTCTGGCACATAAATAGTATGGGTGATTCTCCGTGACACTCCTGTGGCTGCTTCTGTTAGTAAAAAACTAAATGATCAAATAATAGTCCTAAGGAAGGGTAGGTAAAAGGTTATTGGGTTTTCCTATGAGATGTATGGTAATATCTTTTTCTAACATGATGCAACACTCATGCTGAATACAACAGCTAATGATTTGTGTCTAAGCAAGTAAAATGAGGCTTAGCTGTGTGGAACTTGCCATTCAAAGAGTTTTGTACATATCATGAATTCTGGATCCTGAGATACATTTCATGTCATTGCAAATCAGTGTTTTACATTTTTTGTCTTAAGATCCAAACATTTTCTCACTACACATAGCTAAATGTCTATGTTTCTTTCAAATGAGTGTTGTTCTGCTCTTCTTAAGGAAAACTAATTCCTAGTAGCAAAACTTATTTAAAATTTGATAATCACCTGTACACATCAAAAGTCATCAGTGTTTCTGACAAATGAAAAAATGAGCATATTTATTCAAATAATGTCCATGTTGCTGCTCAATTCTGTTATCATTCTATTTGTATATGAGCAACCATGCTTTGATTTCCAAATGTAGCCTGATAGAAATGTCAGAGGAAAGCATTGCAAACAATTTATGAAATCACTGGGGTTTTTTATTGGCTGTGATTCCATTTTAAAAGAACATCATACCATTTACCCACATCATGCAGGAAAAAATACCAGTAAAATAACAAATTAAAATCACATTCACAATGTCTCTACTTTAAATCATCTTCAAGTACTGCATGCATCCGAAAGAAAGCTGGGGAGCATTTCTACTAGAAAATGCATGACTAAGTTAAATTTTGCTCTGTGTGTATGAAAGAGAGAAACAAGCAATTTTTTTAATGACAGTACTGAAACATTTTACTAACTCAGTGCATGAAGAAACAGTTATCTTGATAACATATATTCAGAACAAATACAGACAACTTTCAGATATAGAAGACATTACATTTAGATCACAACAGCTAACTTCTAACAATGCTTGCTCTAGCACACAAAGCTTGGCAAAAAGATGTATTCAGCAGCACTGATATGGTTTTCTTGATGAAGGAGAGAGGTTGGGAGGGATCAAGGCCAATGTATGATACCAGAAACATAGACAGAGGAACTCCAAAGTGATTAAGCACATGATCTTATATTTTGTTTTATTCATTTTAAACACAAGAGTAGCATTGATAATTCATATTGCAGTCTGATTTCATATGGCTTTCTCTACATATAAATGTGAGTTCTCAAGGTCAATGGCAAACTAAATCATTTACCCTCCAAATGAGAAGGCCCTTTGACTATTTTTTACTAACTTGTAAGGTTTTGGAGTTGTGAGGGAAAATGACTGCAGTGTCTAGCCAACAACCTTTCTGTGTAAATAAAAACTAGTTATAAAACTAAAATACCTCATTTACCTGAGATTGAACAGACTAGTGATGCAAATAAAACAATGTCATGAAAGACAAAAAAGATATTCAGAATCCAAACAATGAACCATACTTCTCTTTGGTCTCTTGTTTAAGTTCTTCATCACCTGCTTAAGTGCCAAGGGGAAAAGTGTGTGAGACAATGCTTCCGACTTCCACACGTGAGTCAAAGATCCCTTGTTACAAGTTCTGAGTGGGAAGGGAAATAGATGGGCAGAAGAGAAAGGAGAGTGCCTTGCTCTCGAGTCTGTTCAGCATGGCTTAGGCACTTCAGGACCATGGAATGACTTGAGGAGAGGGCCACTCTCATGCAACATGCCAAAGTTATGTGAGGCAAAACCAAGCAAAACCAGTACCTGTGGTAGATCTTCTGTCTTGTTTCTTATGGCAAGAAAAGGAAAATGGGAACTAGCAGCTCACACCTGGATGAACTCTCTCCTGTCAGCGGAGGAAGGGCTGGTGCAGGTGCGGCTAGTTGAGCTACAGAAGTGATGAAATGGTTGAGCTGGGAAGCCCCCACAATGAAAAAGACTCAGTAAACTATTTAATAAACCACCTTTCCTTTCTCTCCTGCTTTGTGAACCTGGAATGAGGCCTATATGACTCGGTATAGTGATTCTATGGCCCTCTTCAGGGGTTCAATCCAGATGTTCACATAGCTCAGGAGGTCAGCTCACTAGGGAAGTATTTTTAGTGTTCTGAGCCCAGGGATAGCACTACCTGCTTTAGGAATTTTACTACAGTCTACACAAGATCCTGACTTAGACCAGTCATTTCAATGCCACAGCTGCTGAGGCACATTTATCTAAAATGGTACCAAACAGGTTTTCTTTCTCTCTCTCTTCTCTCCATCTTCTCCACCCCATCTTCCACAGATGTGTGCACAAACACGCACACCAAGCTGCCAGAGAGACTGTGAAAACAATCAGCACTAACATTCTGCAAGGAGAATGCTAAGCAGAAAATTCTGATCTTACATCAGGAACAGTATTTGGTTGGATGAGGAAGGGAATCAGTAATGGGAACTAAGGAAAGGTCAGCAAGCAAGTGGTAGAGAAAAGCCAAAGTAAAGTGGAATAAGCTTATCTTCTCATTTGTTTGTTGGCAGAATTCTCCAGCACGAGGCCAGGGGAATATATGAATGGACGTGTTCATTTTAGCACAGGCACATTTCTGCTGGTTTTACATATGTATTAGAGGATGTGTGCCAAGGAGATTAATCAAGGCATTTCAATAGTATTGATGTTTGTATGTCAGTGATCTAGGTTAGGTGATCTAGGGACCAGGGAGTGGCTGAAAGGAAGAGCCAGGCTCTGCCTTTTAGCTTTTGGGGATGTTGGATACTCTGTAGCAGAGCATCAAAATGAGCTGCTGACTCTGTGACAGAAAGAGAGTTTCCAATTTTGTGAGATTTACTTAAACAGCCTCAAATTGCTAGTTGCAAAATTTTCATGGGGTGAGTAGGACACTCTTCCTAGAAAACAGTAAATTGTTCACCACTACCATGCTGTACCCAAGCACAGATTCATAAGAGTGTTCTGGGTTTATTGAAAGTCTCAGGAGAAAAGCAGTCATCTTGCTTTGAATGAAAATTAGGTGGACAAAAGTCTCACTGACATTATCCAAATGAGTAAAACCTGCCTTCTAGATAGCCCTTGGCAGCTTGCACTTGAACAAACAAGTCTTTTTCATAGATACACAGCCTGAAACAAGTTGCATCTTTATCAACTTGTTCTGACTTGTATATCAGTCAAACCTCTTCAGCCTCTGCCTTGGATTCAGTAGAAAGTTATGTTTGAAATTATTTGAGAAGAAGTGAGGACTATAACACCTGAATAAAAATTGTGTGAGGAGGGCAAACTATATTTATTCTCTTTCAAAATACTCTTTTCCTATTGCAACAGGTGCTACTGGAAGGTACAGAGCTGTCTTACTCAATTCCTTAACCATGGTACAGATTTCTTCTGCTTACCTGAAAAGATGATAAATGTGGTACAGATTTCTTCTGCTTACCTGGAAAGGTAATACATGTCTTCTAAAATATCTTATTCAGAAAGTTTACCTAAACTAAGTTGCACTGAATGAATGAAAAGAAAATCCATTGAAGTAAAATGCTTAATTTAGGTACCTAATGAAGTGTCTGATATTATCCTCCTTTTTGTTGCCAGCAGAAAGAGTGTATTTGCTTTCAAATCTCATCCATGTACTTAGGAAATTTTTGTTGTTCCCAGGACAGGGACAAGCAATGCTAGTTCTGCCAGCCAAACCCTGATTCTACTGACAAGATTGTGAGACTGAGATGGTATGTCTACAGCATCGATTGCAGTGACCTAGCCAGATGCAAAATTTCAGAATTAGCTCTTCAGATGACAAGCCAGATACTTGACCATGAGGACCTGTGTTCAGAATAGGTCTATCTATGTATTGAATCTATGTAGGTATTACCAAGTCAACATCTCCCATAGAATTAGGATTTTCTTATGCAATTATGTGATAACACCTCAGTGTTTCATTGAGAAGACCTCTGTACCTGTGTCTGCAAAAGGCCACAAAGATAATGGTGAGAAAAAAAATCTTCTCCCACCCTGCTAGCATCAAGGGATATCACACATTTCTGTAATATTAATTAGCTCCTGCACAGCACTAAGAAGCATCCTCACTTTATGCTTTTACAGTAGGGAGAGACTGAAACCTATATTTTACAGGTGCAGAATTTCAGTGGGGCAGAAAATAAGTGACCTCCTCAAGGCAATGCAGTAATTTAGCACAATAAACAAAATGGATATTTATGGATCTGCCATGACTGACATTCAGACCACCACACACTCCCACACACCACAGGAAAGGGTGGGCAGGACACAGCCACGACAATGTGCTGGAACCCAAATGTCCAGCCTGCAAGCACTGCTGGAAACAGGATGGTTGAATATGGCAGAAAGAGGAAGATTGGTTAAACAGAGCAGCAAATACACTTGTCATTGGCTTCAGAGGGGTTGGGGAGGTCCTCTACCAGTGCACTGTGCCCTCTTCTATGGTTTCAGCTCTCTGTACGGCAAGTGCCTGACCAATTTGCTCATTCAAGGTAAATGTATGGCTAATTCCCAAAGTAACATGACTCTTGCTTAGATTCTGAGGCATTTAACTTCTACAGCATCTGAGGGCAGATGACTCACTTCTTCCACAATTCTGAGTGATGTCAGCTGTGTAAGTCATGCATGATTTACTTTCCAAATGATCTTTTATTTATGTCACAGATGGAATTAAAACAGAAAAGCTCTGCTTCTATGTGAGAACTGAGATATCCCTTCCGAGAGCAGATGTGCTCAACAAAAAATGGCTACTGTGACCCAATCAATAGGAACATTATAATAATAACTAATTATTATCAATAATAAAAATAATATAATTTTAAAAAATTAAAGAGGCCACTGTTCATACTTAGTAAACACTCCTTCTTCCTTTGATGGAAATGAGATTGTTCCTTTTCTATGCTTGATGTGCAGTGCCGTATTTAACATACATAGTACTATGGCTTATAATAAAAGTTGTGTAGTCTGCAGCTTTTTAATCTTTACATCCATTCAGAGGCATCTACTGGATGTGACTATGTACAAAATTAAGGAAAGGATGAGTCTTGGGGCAGAGGAAAGGGAAAGAGGCAGCTGGAAGGGAATGGGAAGCGAAGGGACTCCTAGTGAGCAGTAGAGGGCAGAGGTGGGGAGGACTGCGGGATGAATGGCAAGATTGTAAATCCCCATTGGGCAAAAGAGAAATCCTTTGCAGTACTGTTTATGCCCATCTAACAGTCTGCAGCTATTACTTCTTGAACATGTCCTGCAGGGGCCCTGGTAAGTATTTGATGACTGTGTCTAGGATGCTCTCTTCTTCTTCTTCCTCCTCATCCCCACAGCCAGGAGGGATCGCCTTCTTTGGGCGTGTCAGACTCCCTTCAGCATTAGCTTCCAGTGCAGCCTGGGCCTCTGCTTCCTTTTCTTCCTTCTTCTTTATCCCATACTGCAGGGGAAAGATAACACATTGAATCATAATATGAAAAATAACATATCTGCTGAACAGGATGGCTGATGAAACCAGCCATTGCATGTGGTGCCTCATATTCTGCAGTAAGAACATCACATATTCTAATTTTGCTCTTTTATACAGACACTAAAAATATCCATACTAACACCCCTCCACTAAGTATAGCCCAGTGGACGGCTAGCGTTCACTAGACAAGATGCTGAGATCCCTCAGAAGCAAGCACAGGGAAGAAACTGGGACTATGCAGCCATGGGTCACCAGTAAAGAGATTATAAACTCTGAGTTAATGAAGTGTTAGGGTGGCATTCTACTGATGTTGATCTTCCTCTTTTCTGTTAACAAGTCTGATGCTTAGGTCCATCATCTGCAATGCTTTTGAAAGTTCGAAAGTCCATCAGCAGCATTTTATAGCTTATAGGTATGGCAAAACTTCGGGGAAAAATTAGTTACCAACAAAAGAAACCAAACCGGTCAGGACGGACAGGACGGCAGTGAAGACAACAGTTTTAGATATTCTCATGTGGGACATATCCTATAACATTCATTCATGTTCTCTTTGTATAAGTGGGACAGAATGAACCATCATGAGAAAATCAGCTGACTCATACTATTTGAAGATAAACACTACGAACCCTGTGAGTAGAATGGGTACTTGAAATTTGCTACTGCCACAAAGAATTAGCAGCCTGCCACTAAGACATTACATGAGTAACCAGAATCTTATTTTATGATATTACATTCAAGAGGCTAGATTTAATACAGAACTAAACATATGTATATGCTGCTGTCTCCATAAGTGATTGCACTGCTTCAGAGATTAAGGTGATATGTAAGGAAAAAAAAAAAAATCAACTCAAACTGACACATGCAAATCTGGAGCAAAAAGTCTACCTGCAAACTATCCTCTGTATTATCAAATCATGGAATGGGTTGGGCTGAGAGGTGAATTTCAAGGCCATCCAGTCCAAGCAGTGAGTAGGAACATTTTCAGCTAGGTCAGGTTGTTCAGAGATCTGCTCTGTTTATTCAGATCAATTCAAATTTCCCAGACTGCTTCCACTTTTTATGATGATAAATGGAGGTTAAACTTTCTTGGTGCCGTGATCATGATGCAAACGCAGGAAGTGTCCCATTTCTTAGTGCCCAGCTGGGCTTCAAAGAGGCCAGCTGTACATTTCAAGGATGCTTGCAGTCCCCAAGCTCACAGCTCCCTGTCTGGAAGCAGTATTCTTCTGCTTATTCTTTTTACCTTTGAAAAGCTACCTTAATGGTTGCTCACTATCAGCTCCTCAGCCACCAGTTACCTCACACACACCTGCTCAATTGCTTACAATCCTTGTTGCATGAATACGCTTGAAAACAACATTGAAAAGAAAATTATATATGATTGCAAAAACATCAAAGAATTAAGTTGGTACCATGCACTCAGTATTTTCAAGTACCAACAAAACCTTACTGTTGAATAGACATGAATTAGAGCTATTTTCATTATTTTTTCTTTTCATTTTTTCTACTTCTAAAATTAGTGCAAATTGTTAACCAGTAAAACTGAAAGTGCACTTCTGCTTTCATAACTTTCTGATTTCAGAGGGCTGTTGGGTGTGACTTTTCCTCCTAAATATTTCTGAGCAAATATTTTTGATTCCTTTCTCCATCACCACTTATATTTAAGATGACAGCCTGCAAAGTTGAAAGCAGTGGCTTCAAAACACTCTAGCTCTCTAAATCTATTCTCTCATGCCCAAATGTTCATTAAGGACATTTGTCTTACAATTTTTATACCTACTGGGTGCTGGTCACACCTGATTTCATGGGAAAGATATTAAATGATATCTCCATTCACATGTGAGACAAAGAAAGAATTTGACCAACTTGTAGTTACAGGGCTGTACACCACAAAGGAGATACAACAACCAGCTACCACACAGATGGAATGACATGCAGTGCTGGATTGTAGTTAGTCTGCCCCATTCTCCCTCTCAGGCCACAGGCAGATGTTTCTAAGTGATTCCCAGTGTAATTGGGATTGTGCCTTCCTTCAACTTCCTTCTGCCTTCCAGCTAGAGGGGAACAGTAGTGGAGACACCATAAATCATAGTAACACACAGGTACTCTGCATGCTTTCAAATGCTCCATCTCAAAACAAGTATCAGCTCAAGATGTGTTGATCCTCTAGCTCAGGAACTTTCTGCTCACGAGAAGAAGTGAGTGGAACAAAACCAACCAGTTATGTGAATCCAGTACTATCATTTAAATTTGGTAGCATTTTGTAATGCTTTACATTAACAAAAATGAAAGCTGTGAAAATTCATTAAAATGACATACTTTAGGTTAGAAATTGTTTCAGAGGAAATAAAATTATAGAAATAGAAGTCTTAATACATGAAAAATTTTAAAGAAGTGTCTTCACATGAAATCATTTGTGAAGTCAACAAATTATTTTTAAAAAATATGACTAAAAATATTCTTCTTGGTGCTCTGGTTTTCTTGAGGATAGGAAATATTTCATTACTTCCAAAAATTTTGAGGGATGAGAATAATTTCATTTTTATTCAGGGTTCAACCCCACAAAATTTAATGTCAAAAGTAGTATCATTACCGGCTTGGCCTTCAGTCACATATTCATATCTTCTACTATAAACAGAATTATGGACCTAAGCCAGGGAGATACTGAAACATTTTTAGTAAGTGTACCCTCTTGCCACTCCTAAAGTTATTACTCTGTGGCCTCATGGGGATTGTTGTCACAGGGTCATGTTAGAGAAATATTGTCAGCCTGGAGTCCTCAGTCATCAGCTGGGCAGAGTAGGGAAAAAATACCCAGGCCCTTGGCTTAACCTTCACTCACTGACTGCATGCCAGAAAAAGACCAGACTAACACACTAACATACAACATCAACCTCCTCCCATCTCCTTTCTTTCTTATTCCTCCAGTTTTTCACATGAACTGGAAACATTCTGGAAATTTGCTCTAATGACAGTAAGATTGTCAGGGGGTAGAGAGCTGTTGAGCCAGCGAGATCTGCAGCCCAAAATGTGAAGCTATCATAAATATAGTTACAATTTCTTAAGACAAGCCAACCGTTTCTACTAAAAATGAACATGTTTATCTAGCAAATATCTAGGCCATGGAATGAATAGACAGCAATATTCCAGTTAAGGGACTTGCAGAAGTAATGGCATGTCTTTGGGTCAGGAGTGGAACTGACTCTGCAGGAAGACAGCAACAATAAATGTGCAAGGGAGTGGTTTTCCTTGGATGAGATTTGGAACTGCCTACTTAGAAACAAGTAATATATCTGAAAAAGCTAAAGGATTAAAAGAGGAGATTTATGGGGGATACGAAGACTACTTGAAGACTACATGGTGGGACAAGAGAAGTCAGGAAACAACTCTTCCCTCCAAGTGCTGAGAGCTTGAAACTGGACCTCGGTCCAACTATTGCTGCATATGAAATAATACTGTGTGAAATAATACTGTGTATCACATAACACTGACCTTTGTCTTCTGAGACAAGGTTGGCATGTGAATTGTAGCGGTTTAATCTCTCTTCAGGGAATTGAACTTTGCAGTGGTTTTGCACAGCTGCAGGCACAGCACTGCTGAAACTGTATAAACAGCTGTGGCAGATACAGCCATCTTTGGAATTACTCTTTTATTTACTAGCAAAGGTTTGAAAAGCTATTGAGATTTAAATGCTTATTCCTTATCTTACTTTCAATAAATGTTATGGGATATAAAAGTTAGTCTATACTAACAGCTCTGTCTGTAAAGTTTTATTCACATTCTGAACCTCCATACAAAAAAGAAAAAAAAAGAAATTAGCTAGACTTCAAAGCATAGGGTTAGAAAAAACACTGGAAGGGAAACATGCATACCATTTTATCTCAAGAATTAACTTGACCTGAATAAGTGTTTTTCTTAGACTCCAACTACTGAAAACCTCACACCTGTTCTGGAACTTAACTACCTTTGCAATTAAAATATTTCTCCTCATGTCTAATGTGATTTGTCATGAAATGCCTTTAAAAAATCTGGAAAATATGCAGCTACTGCAAAAAGATTTATCTTTCACCTGTCCTTTTGGACATTATTTATCACTTCTGCAAAGTTCTTATTTTTCTCTTCCTTTACCAAAGAGAATATCAGCCCAATTTAGATCTTTCCATCATTAATGCATGGAATTTTCCACTAGGAATATATGATATATGTAGGACTGAAACAAATCAAGAGCAATAGGTAGAGTTCAGCACTGACCTTAAGTTCCACAACTGTGAGAGTCTAGGGTACAGAAAAAGACTCTCCTTTTATTTGATTTGTACAAACTTGGAAGTCTTTCTACATTATTTCTTTGGTCTTTCTGTGAGTGAACAGGCTGTCAAATACAGGAGGTGAGGGTGCTGAAACCCAGAGCCCCACGTATACTGTTCTCACCACTGTTTAAAGCGCAGAGCCCGCTTTGATGTAGATCTGCCCAAAAATGTGCCCTGGCTTTTCTTTCACCTCAAATCTGCTGATTTCATTTTGTGCTAAATTTGGCTCTTTTTGCTTGTTTGTTTTTGTTGCTCTACTTGTCTTTCTAATCAGTTCATTCATCCTGAACTTGACAGTGAGGATTAGTCCCCAGAAAACTTGTGGGGGAGCCTTTTAACACATATGAAAGAAGGACACTCTCTTTGTCTCTCAAGTAACTCATTTAAGTGCACGGTCTGCCATGCAGTGTTAGAATTACACAGACAATTTCAGGCAACTCAGACACACTGACCCTAGATAATCTCTTTGCCTTCTGAGGAGTAATGAAGAAAGAACCTCAACCTGCCACATGGGCAATCATGCCACTTTCAAGCTGTGGCAAGGAATGAAAGGCATGAGAGAGAACGCAGGATGTCTCAGTCCACGACACAGCAGCAGGGTGTGTGGGGGTGTGCGTGGGGGCTCAGTGTGGAGTGAGTGTACGTGTGGGTGTTTTCTTGTCT